AAGGAGGGGGCTTTGTAGAAAACGAAGCGTTTGAGAGAGGCGGGGCATAGAGGACCTACAATAATGTACAGTATTTGAAAAATAATGTGTTTTTTGAACATTAAAGCGTGTCAACATATTCTGTTACACCAAATACACAAAATAATGATCTTTAAAAAAGCATCATATGACCCCTTTAAATGAACGGAGCGGCTTAGTTAATCGGTTCACACAATCCACTGAAAAGATCCGATTCAATAGAACGATTCGCCAACGAATCAGACATCGCTCATCTGCGCATTAGTGATGGGAAGTTCGGATCATTTTACCGACTCGGACCGAAAAGTTCGACTTGTCACTCCGCCATCTTGACACGCCCCCCCAAATTTACCTGGGAGTCTTCAGTCTATGATTAGCTCACCACCTCTTATCTGACAAGTCTTCGGGTTTGGGCTTATGGGGCTGTCACGTGATGAACGAACGACTCGAAAAACCCGAAGACTCGAGATGAACTAATCAATTCTCTTCCCGGCTCAGACTGCATTGGTTAAAGCTTATGGGGCTGTCACGTGATGAACGAACGACTCGGAAAAACCCGAAGACTCGAACCAGGTGAACTACTTGACTAATTCCAGTACAGAACCTATAGGATGTTGCGCATGCGCGACTGAACGAATCACTCCCCGAGACGACTCGTTCTTCCCGAGTCACATTAAAGATTCGTTCAAAACGAACGAATCGTTCAAGAACGACCCAACACTACTGCGCATGCCCAGAGCCCGTCCACCATAGCAGTGTGACTGGCAAGAGTAGTTGCCAGCCCAGAGTGTGAATGATCGCATTGCCAGGAAATTCGCTGAATTCTTATTTGTGGGCGAGTCAAATCCATCTTTATTTATTTCAGTCGGCCCAGCTGCGTATTAAGTTAATTTCTTCTTTCAGTTCCGAAGAGCAGTTTCCCTAGTCCCAGAGCTTTTGTTTTTTTTGAGAAGTTCGCGTTTATCACGGCATTGTTTGTGGCAATACGCCGGTTTATATTAACTTTCGTACAGTGTGAAAGTCGCGCTCAGGCTCTTTATTCCCACACTGCGATACATCGTAACAATTTCTCGCTTTTCGCGAAAATGGCCGCAACTACGTTCGAAATGGACGGAAGTGTAATGGAAGGGGTGAGTGTTCTATTTCGAGCCTTTTTTTTTTTTTTAATATCTCCGATTAAAGGTTTAATGTTGAACATGTTAGAATGGCATCGCCAGAATTGAATTTAGTAGTCGTCGGTAATTCTTTAAAAAACAAATTTTGGATGTTTCTCTTTAAAGGGAGGACAGATTTTAAGGCTGTCCGCCGCGCTGAGTTGCATATGAAACAAAGCAAAGTTGGTTGTTGGAGTCTAGTAACTCAATTTACACTTCACTTTTGGAGTCAAGCATATGGATATACGACTATATATTAAGTAAAGTTGTTTTGAACAGTTGTTTATCCCACAGAAATGCTGTTAAATACTTTTACCATGAATTTTTAATGCTCCCCTTTGTTAGTTGGCACTGAAGCACATGACTACTTTCCATGTTATCCCTTCACTTTTATCTCTTTAAATGGTCTGGATTTTTATCGAAACTCTTTAGTAATCCAATTTTTTTTTTTTTTTTTGACTTTGCTACATAATTGTGTGCTAGTGTTTCTTTTTTGTGCATAAGTTTTTCTTTTCTTTTTGTGAATAGTGTTGGACAAAAAGCTCCTTAACCACAACATGCTTTGTTTTTGTGTTTTACTTCTCTACATAATTTACATTTTGTTGCATTTGACATAAGTTTACGTTTTTCTAAGTAGCCTTAAATGCTCTTAAATCACAACATGCATTGTTTTTGTTATTTCGCTACATAATTTACGTTTGTTTTTTCGTAACTAGCCTTGGCAAAAAAGCTATCAACCAAAATATTTTACATTTTTATTTACTTAGTCTTAGAGAGATCATTTACATTTCTTTCAACACTATCTAGCATTAAGTCCATAAGTGGCCTTGAGAAAACTGTGTAAAGCACAACATGCTTTGTTTTTTAGGTTTTAATCAGCATTGTTTGGAGAAAGTGGCATTATTGTTTATAAAACACTCCATTTATTTTGCAACTGCTCTTTACTTCTCCATAAACTTCAGTCGAATTGTTCTTGATGTTTAGTTGGCGAAGGACATGTCCACGGCAGCGGTCCGCACTATCAGGAAAGAAATTAAGGATCTGTACATCAACATTCAGTCTCTGCAAGAGAAGGACAAGGCCTGTGGCAACGGTAACGGGATCATGTGAGTACATCCGATCTCAAACCATCTGCCGCAGTTGTTTTGCGATACCGTTTTGATTAACGTCTGTATATTTTGTGTCTCCTGGTAGAATAATTGCAGAATCATCCACCGGCTGCATATTTGCAGGATCATCTCTTGGGAAAAAAGGTAAGGCTTGTCTAGTCCACAGAAATGCTGTTAAATACTTTTACCATGAATTTTTAATGCTCCCCTTTGTTAGTTGGCACTGAAGCACATGACTACTTTCCATGTTATCCCTTCACTTTTATCTCTTTAAATGGTCTGGATTTTTATCGAAACTCTTTAGTAACCCATATTTTTCTTTGTTGCGTACATTAGTGCTTTTTTTTTTTTTTAAGAATACAGATGCAGCCTATATAAAAAGTTACTAAAACTCAATCTAGTCTAATTCCCCTGTCAATAAATGGAGCAAATCTGATTCTTTCGGTCAAAATGAGCTGTATTTTGAGCTGCATGTACTTAGTTTTCTCTTCAATTGTTATTCTGACACCCCCTCCCTGTTCAACGTCACCAGGCCTCAGCATCTGTCAGGTCTCGAGCTGGTTAGGGACATGTGCAATGGCAATCTGGAAGGAGCCACAGTGGGATCCTCGGAAATTACGCTCACTCCTGGGAAAATCAAGGGTGGGAATCACGTCGCAGATACTCGGACTGCTGGGTGAGTATCATTTTTAGTCATTTATGCGGCCTCATTTCTGCTAAACTGTAAAATTATGCCAATTTGTGACACTGTGAAGCATTTTTGGCCCCTAAGTGTACTTTTGTTGTCCGTGGTGTAGAAGTGTGGGACTGCTGATGCAGATCTCACTGCCATGCGCCCTGTTCGCTCAGGGTCCGTCAGAGCTGTGCCTGAAGGGAGGAACCAATGCTGAGATGGCACCTCAGATCGACTACACATTGAAGGTATGTGTAGATGTATGTTTGCGCACTGGGCAGGGCCGGATTGAGTCATCAGCTGTGGACATCCTTCTAATTCTGACGTTCAAATCTTTTTTAGGTCTTCAAACCGATAGTGGAGAGATTCGGAGTTCAGTTTGACTGTGATTTAAAAATGAGGTATTGAAGCGCAACTTTGGTGCAGATCTGATTGTAGTCCTTAAAAAGTAAAACCTAAAACGTTTTCAAAATCTTTTTTTGGCGAAAACAGAGGATACTATCCTAAGGGAGGTGGTGAGGTGGTGCTCAAGGTGAACCCTGTGAAGGAACTGAGTCCCATCAACATGACCGAAAGAGGAAACATCACCAAGATCTACGGCAGGGCCTTCGTGGCTGGAGTGCTGCCCTTTAAGGTATAAGATTGTTTACTTTTTTCAGTTTGATTAGCTTAACTACACAATTTTTTTAATGCTAATTGGCCATGGAAAAAAGAATTCTCCCACAACATCTAAATCTGCTTTTAATAAAAGCAGACTAAATCGCTTTAGTACGTAGACTTGAAACAACAACATACTTAATTTTTTATTTCTTCAACACGTAATTTGTTTCTTTCTCATAAGTAGCATGGGGCGAAAAATTCATAAACCCCGTTTACTTTTAGATTTTTCTTCACTACATAATTTACGTTTCTATTTTTGAATCCACCGGCTGCATATTTGCAGGATCATCTCTTGGGAAAAAAGGTAAGGCTTGTCTAGTTGCCCAGTCCTGAAGAATTAATTCAGTGTCATAGTTTTGGCACTAGAGGGCGATACGTCACAATGAAAAGCCTGTTCATTTGTGCTTTGACTTTTAATGTGGACAAGACAATGTCTAATAGGTTCCCCTACTATGATGATTCATTATTAAAATTAATATGAATGTAAAAATTTACCGTGCTTATGTTCTTTCTGTTTTGTCTTCAGGTGTATATGCTGACAAAGTTGGCATCGAGGCTGCAGAAATGTTGCTAAGAAACATCAGGCATAATGGTTGCGTGGATGAGTTCTTGCAAGACCAGGTCAGGCACACAATACGTGTTTGTCTGGAGAGTAATTATACATTTTGTTTTACTTTCTTCCTGTAACTAGTGTTGAGGGAAAAAAAATCCTTAACCAAAATGTTTTTTTTTTTACTTTATTAAAAAAAAAATTGTGTGTGAAAAATGTTGGACAAAAAGCTCCTTAACCACAAGAAGTAAAAAAAAAAATAAAATAAAATTATTCTCCACATAATTTCCTTTTTTTTTAACGTGAGTTTAAAATATTCCAGCCGAGCCCCCAGCGTGAGTTTATTTTAGGCGACCATTATTTTAGAATGTATAGCCTTATTGTTTCCATGGTGACGCGTCATGCTTGTCACATGACACACCGCAGCCACAATAGCGCTGTATCACAGATTTATCGCTTGTTTCATTTTTCCTTTTTTATAAAAAAAAAAAGCACAAACATGTTCACTATATTATGAAATATCTGATATTCCGATTAAGTATATGCAAGTAAATGTATTTGGGGGTTTAAACACCTTTATAATGACCATATTAGTTGATCTATAACAAAGTCCCTTTAAGCCAAAGCGTGAAAGCAGATTTGAATTCAGCAGTTGATCACGTGACGCACTGAACATTCTAATCACACCGGTGTGATCGTACTCATCAAAGGGTTAAAAATTGGTTTTACATTTGTTTTTTGTAGCTAGCTCTTAAACCACAACAAGCTTTTTGTTTTGGTTTTTATTTCACAACATAATTTGTTTTTCTTGTAACTAGCCTTGAAAAAAGCTTTTAACCACAACATGCTTTGTTTTTGTTTTACTTTGATATGTATTTTATGTTTCTTTTAATGTATATAATATTGAAAAAACTCCTTAAAAACGTTTTTTAACGTCTCTACCTAATTTACAATTCTTTAATTCATTGGTTTAATATTTGTTTTTTGTAACTAGCTCTCAAAACACAACAATACTCTTTTAGTTTTTTTTACTTTGCTTGTTTTTTGTTTGTTTGTTTTGTAACTAGCCTTGAAAAAATGCTATTAAATCACATTGTTTTTTTTTACTTTTCTACATATTATTAGCATTTTCTTTTTTCATGAATAACATAACCACAACACGCTTTTTTTATTTTTTATTTTTTATTTTTTTTGCTTTGCACTACATTTTTTTGTTTCAGTGCAACATAAAAAAAAAAGTGCTTGTCTGGAAAGTAATTATACGTTGCTTTTTTACAGCTTATTATTTTCATGGCCTTGGCAAACGGCACATCCAGAATGCGAACAGGCCCGATCACTCTCCACACACAAACGGCAATCCACATGGCCGAGCAGCTCACGAACGTAAGTTCAGACCTAGACTCACTTTATAGGCACTAAAAACTACGTTTGTTTAAAAACTAGGGGGACTTTAACTCATTTTCTTTATTTTGCAGGCTAAATTTGTTATACGCAAAGCAGAGGATGAGCACGGCAACAACGATACCTACATTATCGAGTGCCAAGGAGTGGGTGCCACCAATCCTAGCTTGTGAACGCATGGATTCATCGTCATCGGCTTGTCCCCAGCCGAGATGAGGAGGACTTGTAGCAGAGACACACTACTACTGTAACTGACTGGATAATGCAAAGATAACTTCATTATCTTTGTTAGTTGCGATTAACAATTTGATTTTTGGCGGTGACCACTGAGTCTGTCCACATTTGTTCCCTGTTGTGTCCCCTTCTGAAACTTTCGTTGTTACTCAGGGTATTGCCTTACACTGTAATGAAACGGATACTTTGAACTCTTCACGCAATATTCGCAGAATCCTGACTGTTTTTGGGCAAATTTGCTTTCCGCACGCTAACACAAGCCTTAAAGTTTCATTAAATCCTTCCGATACTGTTAACAATAACAATAGCTTAAACAATTTGCATGAACGTAGTAAAATCTATGTATGTCACTGGTAAATTAGTGCACTGTGTGTACGAGGAGGAAAAGAAAGTTTTTCATCCAAGTTTATGGTTCCATGTAGCTGCTTTTTTTTTGTATTTATTTAAGTCGTTTCTGCATTGTTTCGAAAATTTTATTGCCATCTTATACTATTCTCATTAACATTCTTAGATAATTTGGTCTTTTTGACTCTTAAAAAGGATTAATTCTTTATCATTATTTCTGTTTGTTATTTATAAGATGGATTTTTTTTTTGCGCAATTATTTTTGCATTTTGAGGCTACATACGGTGACCGTGTTCTTTTGTTATTTGCGTTAAAAATTGTGGAGAAAAAATACAATAAAATGAGTGGTAGACATACAATATTTTACCTTGATTCTGTGTTTTTTTCCCCCCATAATTGGATGATTTATCTGTATTTAAAGGGATCGTTCACCCAAAATTGTCATTTACTCACCCTTAGGTTGTTCCAAACCTGTATGAGTTTCTGTTGACCATTAAAGATATTTTGATGAATGTTGTGAAACAGTTGACGGTAGCCATTGACTTCAATAGTATGAAAAAAATACTATGGAAGTCAATGGCTACCATCAACTGTTCAGTTATCCACTTTCTTCAAAGAAAGAGAGATGGCCTACAAGTGTTAGCTGTTGCCGGTCCAACTGGAGTGTCTTCCCTCGGCTCCTTTGTGCTCCAGCCGGCACAATTACTGCCGGCAGATGCCAGGACAATAGGGGGAGCAGAAGAGAATAGGGGAAACCATGTGATGATACGTGAATATGCATGGAGCCCTTGGGTCTGGAAAGGGCACATCTACATTGTTAAAAGGAGAAGGCTCCCTGCGGGGGGCGGTGGGTGTGGCTTCTGAAGGGCATTCAATGGGCCGGCAGTCTGATCATTGGCTGTCTGTCAAAAGCATGTGTTGCTGTGGGGAGTAATTAAACACTGGCAAAGCTCAAAAGGTAATCTCTGCATATGGTCTGGAGTTTTAAATGAATTTATTTTATATGACAAAAATGACTATATAAGAAAAGCTTTGCTTATGGTCTGGATAATCAAACAAACAAACTCAGATTCTTAAAAAAATTATTAATTTGATATAATTACATAACTTTACATATTATTTTTACATTAACTTTATTATTGGGTTTTAAAATGTTAAAATTTTGATTTTTTTATAAATTAAATGGATGATTTGAATTTAAACTGGAATTTATAAAAATAGTGTGACTAATAATTATTTAAAAAAAATATGTAATTTAAAAATTATAAAAATTTATTTTTATATTTATATAATCTATTTATATATTATGTTTTATAGTTGCAATTTTGTGGTTAATATTAAAGTTTAAGTTTTTTATTTGTTAAAAATAATTGTACAAATTAATAAAAAAAATATTAATTGAAATGTTTTTATTACAAATTAAAATTACAGGAAGTTGCTGACCTAAATCTGCCTTGCAAAGCCTAAGAAAGCTTGCTATGTAAAAAGGCTTAATTAGACATAATCTAGGTCCCTGGCATATGGGTTTGTACATAAATCACGATAACGCTGTTGTCAGAGCTGACTGAACATAAAGTACATAACGTTTTATGATTTTGCGGTTTGGTGGACAAGCATGACATCATAGATAACATTTCTATGTGACCTACTTTGATATGCAGCATAACGATTAATGCTAGGCAATAATACACCTGTAATGTTCCATTTTCATAATCTTTTATTTTATGAAACTCCATGGTGATAAATCTATTTCAAATATTTTTCTCAACTAATATGATGGAACATATGGAGTATATTGCATATATATGTGCAATTTTGTTGTGTTATTGTCATTTTGACTATTGTTTGTGTTCTTTAAATATGTCTGTTTATTAATTTATTTTTATTTCATGTTTAGTTTTAATTATCTTAGTATATTGTTTTTCATATTTATATTTTATAATTTATTTGAACAAAAAAACGTTTTTAATTATGTATTTATTATAATATGTTTATTTATTTTATTTCATGTTTAGTTTTGATTGTTTTAGTAAACTAAATGAAATGAGAAATGTTTGTTTTATTTTATAATTGATATTTTGTTTCAGTTAATATTTATTTCAACAAAATATTTTTAATTACATATTTTTGTTCTAATAATATATTTTTATATTACTTTTTTTTTTTTTTTGAGAGTCTAGTATCACTTCACTTCACTTTTTCAATCTATTTTGACCACTGATAAAAAAACAACAACAACTTACAGTAAGTAGTCTACGTGACCTTGATCACCTCTTGAAAGCCGTGTCAATGGCTGACCTTAAAACACACAGTGAAAACACTCATTTTCACTAGCACACTAGCACGTGAAACCTGGAATTTACTTTTCCACGATGTCAGAGCAGCATCCGCCTGTACAGAACCAAAACAATAGCTAGCATGCTCTGAAAAGCATAGATACACTATATGTGACACGATGACAACCTGGAACCATATCCAGAGGAAGAAACGTCACATTAGTGCACTCTGTTCGGAAAAGTAACACAAGGAACCCTGAAAGTCACACCTTACCAGGACCGTAACATGAGTGGCATGTGAGGAAACCTGAGCGGGCCGTGTGAGCCGGATCCTCCCTGTTCTGTTCCACTGGCACACTCTGTCCCCATAGACCACTGCACATTGTGGTCTAGGGTCCGTTCCAGAGGGTCCCACCAAACCCGGCCCTGCTAAACCTCCATGAAGGCATGTCAGACGCTGTATCCTGGAGATCCCAGGAGAATAGCGAATGGAGCCAGTCAGCCACAGCCGTACAAAAGGTCTGGATCTCCTTGGTAGGAGGTAAGATGGACTTTGTTTGAAGATGAGCATTGTTTATATGACTTGGAAGTTGCATGTGATACCAGTCTTTGGTATTGTAGTATGATACCATAGGATGCATTGATGTCTCCAATAGTAGATATATAGGCCTATACATAGTTCACCCAAAATGTTGTCATTTCAAACATGTGTGAATTTTTAATTTAATTTAAATTTTTAAATTTACATTTAAAAACAATGTATTTATTTGATATATTCATAAAAATTAATTTATATGTCAATTTCTTTTTTTTAAATATTAAGTTTAAATATATAAGATTATATTTTTTAATTGATAAAAATAATGTAAAATTAATAAATAGTTACTAATTTTAAATGCTATTAATGATTGAAAATACAAGAAACTACTGGCAAAAATGACTACCGTATATATAAGAAAATCTTTGCATATATGGTCTGGATGACCAAACAAAAAATTAATGAATTTTAAAACTCAATTAAAAAAATTTATTCATTTGATATATTTACATTCATTTATTTATTTGTTCTTATTAAATATTCATTTAAAAAGTGTGTTGAGATTCATTTAAAAGTTTTTTTATTTAAAAAAGGGAAAATTAATAAATAGTTATTAATTATTACAATTATTATAATTATTTAAAAAAGATTGTATTATTAAAAAATACAAGAAGCTACTGCCAAAAATGTTTGGATATAGTCTGATCAAACAAACAAAAACTATGATTATTAAAAATGTCTAAATTTTTGAAATTTATATTATTATTTATTTATTTATTTATTTATTTATTTGACCAATTTCATAATTGGGATTTTGATATTACCTTAAAAGTTTGGATTTTTAAAATTGTTAAATAATTACTATTTAATCATTTTATTAAATTTAAAACAAAACAAAAACAATTATTATATACTGTATGCAGATATTTTGAAGAACCTTTTTCTCCATACAATGAAAGTCAGTGAATTCCAAAATAAATGGATTCCCCCGACTTTCAAAATATCTTCTTTTGTGTTTCACAAATGAAAGAGAGGACGTTTGGAACAGCATGAGGATGAATAAATAAGGACACAATTTTCTTTTTTTTTTGGTTGCAACCAACACCGCCCTCCTTTAAGGCTCTACTAATATGCTAATGTAGTAATATCAAAAAGAAGCACAAGCTAGTTCCTCTAGCCAAGGGCAGTGGGTTCACTGTGTTGTTTACTCATTTGCAGATTATTCAAATCCTATGCGCAATGCACCAAAACATCCTGGTTTGCTTTGTTTGCTGCCTAAACACTTAAAAAACAATACAGAAAGATCAGACTGAGCTGTCATGAATGGACCCACATTATTAATCTGCTTCATGACGTCCATCTGCTCGCACTGAACTATTTAGAAGCTGTGGTGACCACACTGTGATCAGCCTCATACATGATCTCTCCAGCTGCTGTTGTGAATGACCCCAATAAACAGTCTGCTGTGGGCCAGTGATATTTGAGCTCAGTGTTACAGACTGTCTGACGACTCGTGTGTTTGAGTTCACAGATGATACTATGTGCTGATAGATAGATAGATAGATAGATAGATGATGGACAGATTGATGGAGGGACAGAGAGACAGAGAGACAGAGACAGACAGACAGACAGACAGACAGAGAGAGACAGACAGACAGACAGACAGACAGAGAGAGACAGACAGACAGACAGACAGACAGAGAGAGACAGACAGACAGACAGACAGACAGATAGATAGATAGGTAGACAGATAGATAGATAGATAGATGATGGACAGATTGATGGAGGGACAGAGAGACAGAGAGACAGAGACAGACAGACAGATAGATAGATAGATAGATAGATAGATAGATAGATAGATAAATGATGGACAGACTGATGGAGGGACAGAGAGACAGATAGACAGACAGACAGACAGACAGACAGACAGATAGATAGATAGATAGAGAGATAGATAGATAGATGATGGACAGACCGATGGAGGGACAGAGAGACAGAGACATACAGACAGACAGACAGACAGATAGATAGATAGATAGATAGATAGATAGATAGATAGATAGATGAACAGACCGATGGAGGGACAGAGAGACAGAGACAGACAGACAGACAGACAGACAGATAGATAGATAGATAGATAGATAGATGATGGACAGACCGATGGAGGGATAGAGAGACAGAGACAGACAGACAGACAGACAACAGACAGATAGACAGATAGATAGATAGATAGATAGATAGACTGATGGAGGGACAGAGAGACATAGACAGACAGACAGACAGACAGACAGACAGATAGATAGATAGATAGATAGATAGATAGATAGACGGACGAATGGACAGACTGACAGAAAGACAGTTTGTCCTAATATTTAGTATAATAATTTCTTTTTATATACAACAATGTACATAACAAAACATAGCAATATTCTATTTATATCTGTATCTGAATATACAAAAAAGTCAAGAGAGGGCAGTGAGTAAAACAAACAGGTTGAATTACGCAGGTTGATGTCTCAGAGTAAAACAACCTCTCGTCCTCTGATTGGTCGAGCGAGAGTTAACCCGAGTTACATCCTTCCGTGCCGCTGATTGGACATCTCTGCACCACGTGACGTCCCTTTAAGCTCTTTCTTGACTGTCCGCGACCATGGCAAAGGAAATATTTCCACCTAATGACCAGGGCAGAGTTACCATGCAAAGGATCGCGACTCGTATCTGCCCAGTTTGAAGCGAAAACGGATATATATAATACGACGAATGTTGTTTTGACGGCGCGCGCGAGAGAAAAAACTGCTGATCGTTCAAGCACTTTAACGCGGGACGCGCGAGCTGGGATGCCGAAGTGACGCAGCTGGAGTTGTTTTAACAGCTTGAGAAGTTGCAGCTCATTTCATTACCTTTTACGCGTGGAAGAATACCACGAGATACGAGTGCCTTGTTTACATATTTCATTGGGCTTTTCTGTTCTTGAGCTACTCGGAATATTTGCGCCATCAGTTAAGAGAGAAGTTGCATCCGTGAGAGGAAACGGATTTTAAAGCAGCAGTAACGTTAACGTTAGTTTGCTCTTCTTTTCGAAATAGCTGCGCTCCGTCGATGACTCTCGACACCTTAAAACATTCCGCGATACTCACAACTTTATTTAAAATGGCTGATGAAAACTATTTAATAGGTGCTGCGGAGTTTGTTAAAGGTGAGTTTAAGTTTCGTAGCGCTTCAGTTTGGATAACTTTGATTCATTGTGTTACCTCAGACTGAGATGTACTTGTTTCAGTCATCAGATCCCTGCACCAACTGTTGATGTGTGTTATTTAACTTTTTCTCAACTTATTAGCAAATCTGCAGCAAGTTTGGTTATTATTTATTTATTTAAGTGTATTTTAGTGTTTTCTAATTTATCATTTGTGTGAAAAATGTTCTAGTGAGAAATCGAAATAAAAGCTTGTGTTTTGAATTATATATTTTGTATATAATATATAACGGGGGTCCACAGGTAATGCATCAACCCTGTTACCATGATGACTGTTATTAAAATCTCTTAATGTGCAAAACATTGTCATAAAGCCATCCTCCTCTTTGAGGACAAATGTCTTGTGTTTTTTAGAAGGTCTTAAATGGTCAACCCTGTTATTCTGATTTTGTATATTGGTTACTGAAAATTGGATATTTCCAGAAATATAAGCATTTATTTTTAATAAACACTTGGTAGTTTAATGACCTCAAGCACATGACTAGTAATGGTTAAATGAACTGTCAACCCTGTTATTCTTGCTATATATACCTTAATATAATCAACCTTTTTTAATTGTCACAATGCAATTTATACTTAAATTTACACTTAATGATGGCACTTCTTTGTGTGATAGAATAATAATAATAATAAAAAAAACATGGATTCATAGATTAGTGGATTAGATTTTTGGAGAAACTTTTATTTTTTAAATAAAATCTGTCAAAAAATAAATAAATAAAAATGTATTAATGTAACATTTGACTTTCTCTTACCGTATTGAATAAAATCCCAGTAATGTGATGATTCACATTCATATTTAAGTGTATTTAAAGCTACAGTGGGATACGTTCATTGTTGCAGATGATTAAACCCAAGCCAATAATCCAATGATAAAATCTTATCTCGGAAGAGTATTATTAGTTGTTTTATAACTGTACCGGCTTGTTTAATCAACCATGTGTAATTTTTTTTTTTCCAGATAGACTCTATTTTGCAACTTTACGGAGCAAGCCGAAAAGCACCGCAAACACGCATTACTTCAGCACGGATGAGGAGTTTGTGTATGAAAAGTGAGTTTTCCCTCCCTGTCATCTTTCAGAGCCAAAACCACCCAGCAGGCGGGAAACTGTTCCGAAATCTGTTACGTAACTCTTTAATCGAACGTTTCCTTTAGTAAAAGTTGCATTTTTATCTCCAACGTTCCATAATGGACCTGTCAGTCATTTGTTTTGAATTTCCGCATGTGGGAAGATTAGAGAAAAATGGAACTTATGTTCTTTGCATCATTCTGACAGATATTTTGAAAGAAAACACTGTTTGAGACTGACTTCCAAGGATGGGTTATGGTCTTTTTAGAGGCCTCCTTTTATCATAATTGCAAAATATAATGTTTGAGTAACAAGTACATTCCAATATGCGAATTTATTGCTTATATTTGAAATTGCAAGAATGAACACAACGTATGTATAGTACATTCCAAATGAGACAAAGATTTTTTTTGTCTTTGTATATCAGTTTAACACCTGCATTGGCTTTATTCCGGGCGTTTGGGCCACAGATTGAGGCCCCTGACAGTCAAAGACCACGGGGCCCTGGCCCCATTAGCCTAAGCCATAATCCGTCCATGTTGACTATTTAAATAATTGTATAAATCTGTGTTTTTTTCTTATTAAACAATGAAGGGTAACATTGTTGTTCTCTTTCATAGCTTTTATGCTGATTTTGGTCCCCTCAACCTCGCTATGCTGTACAGATACTGCTGTAAACTCAACAAAAAGCTCAAGGTGAGTCAAACACCTGCTCGATTTGTTACGTTCCTCCTGAAGAATGTGCAGTATGTTGCTACATCAATTTAAAAAAGATGAGGAATTTGCGCTCACGCCCCGTCGCTGGATTTTTTGGGCTGTCCAATGTGCTGACGTTTCGTTTGTTTGTAATATGGGATGGGAATTTAAGCTTAATGATACAGCATTGAACTCCAGCTACAGCTAGAAAACATCCCGTTCCTCCCTCACTTTATCAAGTCATCAGCTCGTTTTATGCCATGTCTGTAAGGCAAAATCGCATGTGCTCATTTTAAATTAAATCGACTGTGACCAGAGGCTCAGAAGGATACATCACGTGCACCTTTAGCCATGTGTCTCCTGTCTTTTTTAGTCTTTGACTCACCTGTCTTGACATTTTAATGTGGACCGAGAGTGTCTCCTGGGACCACAGCATGTTCTTGGCTCAGGGCCTCTCTGAAGCTCAGCGGTTCTGGCAAAGAAGAGATTTCTTCTTAAAAGAATAATCCAGGTTCAGAACATTTGCAGTGACAACAAACTTTTACAACAAAAAAATTTTGTTGTAATTTTTTACAACAAAAATTTATTTCTACTTGTCCTCCTTCTTTTAAAAATGTACATTACCCTGAGAAACTTAGAATGGAAGTAAAAGGGGCCAATTTGTAAACAATAAATACTCTACAATAAAACAGAACCTAAAGAATATGAGCATTAATATGATATTAGTGTGAAAAAAATCACTTACTAAGCTTTTAAGAAGTTTAAGTTTTACAACTTTGTTGCGATGACAAATCCCTAAACCATGAAAACAACAAATTACATGGTTTTACATACTCGGTATTAATAAAATAATTAAAGTGCTTTGAAAAAATCATAAGCATTTCTGCTTTTAAATGCTCTAAAAATTGGTGCCATTCACTTTCACTGTAAGTGCCTCACTGTAACTTCTATTTTTGTTTTGTTTAAAGAAAAGGAGGGACAAGTTGGAATAATTTTTTTGTGGTAATCCATGTTGTCAGTTGAGTTAAACTTGTTCTCAACCCAAATTATTCCTTTAATCCACAGTTCAATTTGTATGAATCTGAACCTTTAACCTGATACATAGTCAGTGAGTGAGTCTGTTCAGTTTCAGATTATATATGTCAGCTGGACATCAACCTGTTGCATTACGCCAAGAATATTTCTAATTTCTCTCGGCCTCTTAAAGTTAAGACTTAATCCAGTGGTTTAGTAACTACTCATTTACTAGTCGCTTTTATCCAAATGGTTTTCAGGGACAATCTTCCCCAAGTGTAACCTGGGGTTAAGTGCCTTGCACAATGGTGCGTCTTGATCACTTTGGGGATTGAACCAGTTACCTTCCGGTTGCCAGCTTAAAACTTATCTACTAGGCCAAAAGTTCACTATTCAAGTTAAACTTTCTCTTCCCCCACCATTGTCATGGCATTTAACAGAATATCAGCAAGGTACAGATTACGATCTACTTCAATCTCAATGCTCGCAGTCTGTTGAGAAAGTGAGTTGTGTGTTATGTCACCGTTCTTGATCTCTTAGGCCTGATCCTTCCGTCTATCAGATGTAACAAATGTTGGGATTAGATGTGACCTTTTTTCTTTTATCTACTCAGACTTTAGCAGCAGCTATGGCATTGGCCTTAGCGTGTGGTTCATGCATGTCCCAAGGATTTATGGAGGGGGATTAGATGTCCGAAAGGGTTGGGCCGATAGACGATGCCATCGTCCATCGCCGATGCATATAAAACTTTAGAAATTAGATATTTGTTTAATTTTAATTTTGTTTTTGACTGTTAAAAAAAAAAAAATTAGTTGTTTGTCTCAATAAATTGAGTTAATTTAAAAATACAGTGGTTTAATGTAAAACATTTTTTTCTATTGCTCTTTGTTTTAAAAAAGGTTATAAAAAATGTCAATAATTATCGATACCGAACGATATGAAACATTATATCGTTGATAAATTTTTTAGCTATATCGCCCAGCCCTAACCTACCACACATTTTACAAGATTAGATATTTGTCAGTGGTGCTCAGTATCTGCAAATCATTCGCCATTGTCCTATCAGTCATCTCTCCTTACTCTGTGTATGTGGTAAGTGAACTTTCATGTACTGTAATGCAGCCGTCTACCGCTGGCAAGCATGCCTTTCTGCATCACGCTTCGGGCACACCCCCTAACCCCGCCCCCCGATGACATAGACATCGTCCAATGCCAATTTGCTAGACATCGCCCAACCCTAATGTCCGAGTACTGCTCTGCACACTTCAGTTGTGATGTGGGAGGGCCATGGGATCCATCCCAATCCATCAACTCCCAGATTTTCGTTTGATTGCTAATATAGACACTGTGTAAAGGGAACTGTTTGGTTTTGTTTACGGCCTTTGAAAATATAGTTTTTACTAAAGTTATGCTAACTGCTTTCCAAAACGTAGTGAGCTTCCTTGCTTGCTACTACCTAGTGCTGGGCGGTATACCGGTTCATACCGAATACCGGTGTTTATTTTTATGATATTATTTTTTTAAATACCGCAATACCGGTGTGTATGTCGCTTAAACAACGTTCAGAACGCGACACTGTTTGAAAGGGGTCCCTTTTCACTGTTGCACTGTTTGTATGTGTTACGAAGCGTAAAAGTTCCGAAACTGAAGCTGTAGAACTAATAGAACGTGATGACAGAAGAACTCATCCACAATATCCACATTGACCGCCACAAATATCCACCGCCCCCTGCCATCAGCTCCCGCGTCTCACACACACGAGCGCGACTTCAGAACTAGATTTAGCAACTTTCAGACCCTTTTAGCGGCTTTTTTCCATAGAATATTCATACTGACAAACCTAGCGACTTTTTTGGATAAACCTTAGCTATGGTTCAGTTGGAAGATTTCACCAGTGCTGTCCCGCGAATGCGAGGTCTGACTTTCCCGGAGAAGTGTCACCTCTCTCGGCGTCTGTTCTGTGCAGTGAGCGGCAGAGAAGCAGCGCATTCAGTTGGCCGCACCACCGCCGACTCGTCAATAAATGAGTACAAAACAGCATTTCCAAGCACCTGTCGCTTACTGATTGTTTGGAATTATAAATATGAGCGTAGTTCGTCTGTTAATATCACATGCACTTTTTTGTTTGTTGTTTTTTTTAGTTTGTTACTCAGACGCAGGCAGTGCGCTGCATGAGACAAAAAAGTAATATAGCCAAAACAACCGCATAGCCGCTCTTTAGTGTAGATGCACGTTGATTTTATCAGACGATGCCGCGATTATAAATGAGAGTGACTCCTGGTTAACATGTATTAAAAGGGGTCGTGTTTAGTCACTATTTAGTGTGGTATTTTTTGACAATATTCACTCATCATGACAGTAAAATAGGGCAAGTCAATATACTGCAGTATTTCCTCTCTCAATCAGTAGAAAAAATGGTTAACGCCCGGTCATGCATGAAAAAAAAAAACCGTCATGTACCGTGAAACCCGGTATAATTTTGAAAAATACAGTGATATAAACTTTTGGTCATACCGCCCAGCACTACAAAA